AAAAACATGAATTTATGTGTATTTACACATATTTTGTGTATCACGGCTGTCATTTTACCTAGTCTGTCAATGCACTTTGTAAACTCTGTTTTTATAAGGTGCTATATAAATAAAGTTATTATTATTGTAATTATTATTATTATTTGTTCTTAATGTCTTTCCTGGTTAAGTAAAGGTTTAATACATTTAAAAATTTAAAAAGAAAAGCTTTATTAAAAGCAATATTCCTTAGATTTATGACATTTCCCACTGATTTTTTAAATGTTTTTCATGCACAAAGTGAAACTGTGACTAAGTGTAGCTTTTACACAATGTGGAGTCAAACAAGGCTCGATACAATGTCCTTTTTTATTTTAGATTGCCACCACTATGCCGATGACACTCTGTCTGTAAATCTGGCCTCTTTGTCAGTTTTTGTAATTTAAGTTAAAGCAACTTTTTTACAGATCTAAAATGAAAAAATAAATAAATAGCAGAGCTGCTACAAAAAGGACAGAGGTTTTAAAGCTGGTCATAAGGGGCAGGTAGGGGCTGTTAAAGTGAAAAGGTTCATCCTCTGGGGAGCAGGAATGTGCTCAGTGGAAGCAACATTAGCTGCTAATATCTTTAACAACCCAAGCTGACACATGAAGAGTGATTGAAGTGATAAAAAACAAAGAAGAAAAAGTGAAAAAAGATGAAGTTACAACAGGTGGAGTGATGGTATCAGACAGTGGCGGTCTACCTGCTCTCCAGATACAGCGGCCTCATACGGCCCCCGGCTACGAGCCTGATCCACGGCCGCCACCACGGTAGCCACCGCCACGCTCTTATCGTCCTGGAATACATGCTCGTCCTGACGCATTCACAGCACATCAACACATCAACACATGTTCACTCTACAACCAACACACAGCCAGAGCTGGGCCAAGGCACTGTTTCACTTCATAACATTCACAGTTAGTACAGTTATTGTATACTGTTGGCCCATTGTTCAGTATGCATTCACTTTGCTGCAGTTGTATTCTTTAGATTTCCTTTTATCAAATGTGCTCAAGCTCAAAAACACCATAATCAAGTCACACATTTACACACTCATCTGGTCACCAGTTTGGTTTCTTGCTTTCTTGAATTAATGACTTGGATGCTGATTCAAAGAAACTGTATTGTTTTAATCGGCCTGCATGCAGGTTCACATAAAAGCGTCAATTCAGCTCCACCTTCCTCACCTCTCTGGTGGCGGTGACTTGCTGCTCCCAGTGTTTCTCCATATGAAGCTGGGTGGCGCTACTCACACTGGTCATGCTGCTCATATGGGTGTAGCTGGCTTCAGCCGAATAGTCGCCCTGCTTCCAGGGTGGCAGGACCTCAGCAGAGGCAGATATCTACAAGAGGAAGGCACCATGATGATGGCGGTTACCATGAGTACTACATGTGTTGGAAGTGCTTCGGAAGAACCAGCTTGTGTGTACAGTGTTTGAATTTATTAATGAGCCAATCTTCATTTTACTTTAGTAAAATTGTCGTAGCTATGGTGAGTTTGGAAAATGTCCTTAACCTGGATGTGAACTTTTGTTCTCACCTGTTTCCTGGTCATCAAAGGAGATTTAACCGGTCTGATGGGAGAGATAGACAGTCTGGCGGAGGGAGACACGGGTCTACAGAGGACAAGATTACAAGACACAATGTTTCCCGTTTGTAAAATTCAAACGTGTTTCAACATGCCAAGACCCTGATCATTTCTGTCACTTTCCTATCATGTCGTTATGGGTCGCTATCTTGCAAGACTGAGTCAGTGGTGGCGGTTGTACCTGACAGATGCGGGCGTTGGCCCTTTCACATGTCTGACAGGTGAAGGTGACTGCTGGCGTCCTCCCGTCATCTTGGAAACATAGGACGGTGGGGACTTGGAGGTCGGCTTTGGGGGAACCCGCGGAGGGGTTTTGTGAGCCAAATGCTGAGTCATCATTCCTCCTTCTACGTGCATCTCCATCATGGTGGTGGCTTGGAAACTGGCCTCCATCTTCTGGAGGAAAAAAAATACAATATAAGTTGTATATTGTGTTTTAATGAACTCTGTAAAAACGAATTAAACCTTAAATTAACCTTAAATGTACTTTTACAAGATTCAGTTTTAACATAAAAACACCACAGGAACTGCGATTAATTAATGAACAAATCCAGGTGTTTTTTTTATCATGTCTCACCCTCTGCACTCTTGTCTGGGAAGTCTCCATCTGGGATGTGGACACAATAGTCTTGGTTTTCTTTGTAGGTACAGCTTCCTCACCTGCAGCATAAACACACGTTAGGTTGATGTGGATACAACACTAAACAACAACTCAATCAAGACTACTCATGTTTTCTGATTTGGTTAAAAGTTTACTTATAAATTTCATTTCAATCTTAAATTACAAATGATAGAAAAGGTCTGCGGTCCTCACCCTGAACCAGCAGTTCAGCGGTGGAGGTTGCACGCCCGCTGCTATTGGTAGCAGTCACAGAATATGTCCCAGAATCCTCTGGGAAGGCCTCTGCGATCAGCAGACTGTACAGGTCGCCCTCCTGGAGGATCCTGAAGTCAGCTGAGCTCTGGATCTCAGCTCCCTCTCTGTAGAACTTCACCACAGGTGTTGGGATTCCTGTCACGCGGACATCCAGTCTCACCTGGCTGCCCTGTCTCACTGTCGAGCTCTGCAGTCTCTGAAGGAAATTTGGAGGCGCCGTCTCGGCTGCAGAGACAGAAAATGGTTTTAATGAATTCATGTTTTAAAAGAGTCATAAAAAACCTTTCAAATCTTCAAACTGAATAAAAGAATTGAGCTTGAGAGCTGTACCTGAAATCATGGCATACACAATTGTGTCATCTGCATAAAAACATACATTAAAGTAGTTTTTTGGTCTGAAACTAATTATTATTTTCATTATTTTCATGATTAGTATCTCAATTAATCAATTAATGTAAAATGTAACGTCTTCAAACGTCTTGTTCATTCCGACTAGCCATCCAAGACCCAAAGATATTCAGTTCAGTTCAGTTCAGTTAAAAAACCAAAGGAAAGCAGAACATCCTCACATGGGAGAAGCTGGAACCAGGAAATGTTTGCTTGAATTACTCAAAGGTCCAGAGTGTTTTACAGATTTAGGAGGATCCAATGGCAGAAATAGAATATAATACTCATAGGTATTTTTTTTTATCCATTCATTCAAAGATGAACATATAAGAATCCAAATATAAGAATATAGAAATGTACAGATAAATATTAAATTTAACCCCTGGACTCTCTTTCACACATTAAAGCTAGTTTATTATGAGCTAGTTGACATGTGGAGTTTTGAAACTGAGGTCATGAGAGCCTTACTGGTTCAAGTTCAAGTTGTTAATCGCTTAATAAACTTGAGATTCCTCTTAAGGAAAGCTATGCTGCAACAGCTGCATCTATATCGGTTTTATCACTGGATTAAATAACAGGCCGCGCCCCTCATCTGAGAGCAGGATAAATTTAGACCCAACTGAGGAACAGAAAGACACAATTTTTAACTTTTACTCATCTATGGAAAGTGCAGATAGAAGTGATTGATTACTTTAAGATTCATATTTCTATCACTTACAAACTTAGTCTTGTTGAGGTTGTTTTGCATCTCTTTGTATTTATTTTAAGTCTCTTTGTGGTTGTTTTTAGCCATTTGATTGACTTCCTAAACAGAAATGTTCCTCAGGCTCCTGGGTCTGTGCCCGGTAGAACCCGTTTAATGATCTTTTCGTGAATAAAAGTTACCCACAGCGAGCGCTCACCTGTAACAAGAAGTTCAGCGGTGCTCGTGGCTTGTCCAGCGCCATTGGTGGCTCTGACGGAAAATCTTCCGCTGTGTGCGGCAGTCACAGCGGGGATCCTCAGAACAGCGCGGCCATCGCTGAATGAGATCTGAATGCCGGGCAAAGCGCCGGCGGAAAGAACCTGGCCATCACGAAACCAGCTCACCTCAGGAACTGGAGAACCTGGAGAGGAGAGAAGCCAAAGATCCTAACTTACTGATGTGATACTGAGAGGATAGACATCTGTTTGATCATACTAACTTAATCTAAGGAGACATTTAGCCTTTTCAACTCACAAAACACCCTCAGTGACATCCTGGTGAGACTGTAAAGCATGCTAACCATTGATAGCCCTGCTATTTTAAACAATGGAGCAATTTATACTAAGATTAGCCAGCAAGAAATCCTAAATGTTACGTTAAATTATTCTGGTTGTTCTTTTGCTAATATCTGTTAGCTACCTTTATTATCAGCTGCGTGTGGTTACTGCAACTGAGATCGCTAACTGCTGCTAAATAACTGCTAATAAATAATTTACATTTCTATTTCTACACCTCTTCAATAAACAACATCAGACAGTTGAAGTTGCTGGAAGGTGAATTTCTGTCTCTTTTGATAGAGTTAGGTAAGCAGATAGCTAAGCTACAAACAGCTAACACATCATCAAACACGCTAGCAGGCTGTTGCTACCATAACACCACAATAGGCTAGCACAATGTAAATGCTCACTGTTTGTCGGTAGCAAAACTAACGATAAACACCACATGTTACACTGACTATGCTGTTTTGTGGCTACTCCTGCAGTCTCTGCTTCCAGTTTTTGTGCTAAGCTAGGCTAAACACGTCTTGGACTGTACTGGACGCACAGACATGAAAAATGTTCCTTTAAACAAATAATAAACCTACAAATTGACTAAAACCAGCATTACTAACACTTTTAATTAGCTTGTAAAGTAATCCTGGCTTTAGCGTCCATTACACCAGGAGACATTCAGCAATAATAACATGCAGTTTAAAAGCCAACAGGAATCAAATGGACTGTAACGTTCTCTAGAGGTTCTCTAAGCAGGGTTGCATTAACTGCATTACTGCATTAAAAAAAGGGTAATATTTACACTGACATAGGCCTACATTTTTGGCTGAATCTCTCCATACAGAATATTCTGGAATAAAATCGGAGGTTTCAGTTCAGTCATAAAGCGTCCTTACCACTAACTTGAGCCTCGAACGTCGCGGCACTACCCTCAAGTGCCACGACGCTCTGCAGCGGCTGCGTGAATGTCGGCGCCTGTGTTGACATGTTGGTCGGCACCCTGCGGACACGAGAGACAAACTGTCAGAACAAAACACAAAAACAGCAGAGAACCTTCAGGATTCAGATAAATTCTCATTCATCCTCCTTTTATATATTCAGGGAAAAAAGTTATAATTTCTTTATTTACACATAGTTATCAAATGATAACATACATAATCATCTTACTTTTTTATTTAATTACACATTTACCATGAAGGAAGGTGAAGACAACAGAATATTTTACTTTACAGACTTGATGTCAATTAAAATGCCAAAAAACTGTCTAATTACTGGAAAACATTGTCTAGGAAAACACATTTAAAAAAGGATCATACCGCCAGTTTCCCACATTTCCAGTGTCGTAAACAGTCCCAACATCTCAAAATGTTCACTGCCATGTTTTATTGATTAATAATCCTGTTGACATATGATCAGATAATTCAGATTTAAAACAGATTTAGCTCCTCTAACACTGTCGGACTTGAGAACCAGAGAGATCACCGTCTTCCCTGTCAGAACTTGGAGCCTACGTTACCCACAATGCAACCCGACCTCCAACAGTTGGTGTCATTTATCAGACTTCACACAGATCCTACTGGAGACGCTAAAAACCTTATACAACTTATTTCACATATGCAGTAGAAACTTTTCATTTAATTTACTTTTGTTTCAACAACATTTAACATTTGACAACTTTTATTGTTAAATGTAATAAAGTTTATTTTTTTAATTCTTTAAAAAACTATGATACTCTAGTATCATATCGACACTAATGTCAAACATTTTAAAAACGATAACCAGTCTTACTCTGAGTTTATTGATGATACTGTAATATATTTATAAAAATCCAACATATCAGACATTGTCAGAGCTACAACAATTGTGTCCAGAACGTATTTCCATCGTTGTTCCAACTGTAATAAAGACCGACACAGGCAATCAATGTATTAAAAAACAATACACTAAGAAGTGTTAAAATACCATATGAATGTTGTGGTTTTCTGTGCTCTTTAAAGTCTGCAATATTAAATAAACTACTTTATTCCATATAAATTAGTTTAAAAATAAAGGTTTTGCCATGAGATATCACAGTTTACTGTTACGTGAACTGTATTTAACCTATTTATAGTTGTTATTGACGTGGTGTGACAGTTTGACAGTGTATGAACAAACAACTGATAGTAGAAAATGAACTGAAACCTGCTTGAAGGACTGAATCCTCTCCTGTTCAAACAACTTCATATTTTTATGTTCAGCTCTAGAACCAGAAGCATTGTGAGAAACTACAAAGTGGCAGACACAGAGGTCCATGTTCAATATCCTTCATACAGCAAATGTCTCCTTTAAATATGACAATGATGTTTCCTGAGCTCTTTCAATCGCAAACATTAACCCAAATTCAACCTAATCACTGTGAATTCTGCGCAAACCTTTTGTCCAATCGTAGTTTCACACAAAATGTTGAGCCGTGCGTCACTGGAACAAGCAACTATTTTTTAAATTGTCACTCACTCACACAATTTCAATGGGAAAATGCCTAAAAACATTGCAACATTCATCGCAACGTTTTAGAAAAGCTGCTGTGAAATCAGGTTTTTTGGGCAGCAGCTGCTGTTTTAGTTACCTGAATTTGCACCAAACCTTCAAATCCACTGAGCTCACTTAAATTATGGAGATTTTGTTGCTAAATGATGGCAGAGAAATGGAAAGTCATAAGATTTTTTGTAAATAAGGCCAGATGTCAAACCTCAATACTTATTTGGTACCAATAGAAATGTGTCTGCAACACAAGAACTGAAAGAAAGAACTGATTTCTTATTTAAGTCTTATGTCTGCTAGAGTCTATTTTGTATTTAGACAAACCTCATGTACTGATTGAATTTAGATAACATTTCTTTAGTTAAATGAAAGAAAGAGTTATGCAGAAAAACATAATACACATATATAATAACAATATATTGATATTGTCAGCTGCTCACTAACAGCAAAGAGATGTTTGAACTCATTTAGAAACAGAGTTAATTTACTGTTACACTATAAAACACTATTCTTTAAATATAAATTATTTCCTGTGTTTTCTCTCTGACAGCTGACCTGCTGACAGCGAGACCCTCGTTCAGATCGTCGGTTTGATCCCTTCAGGTTTTATTTTTAGGAGCTTTGTCCCTGGAGGTGGTCCAGACTCCACGGGGTCTGGCTGATAAACCACCAGCTGATCCACCACAGAGCTCAGAGCGGATTAAAACACCTGTTTAACCCCCGACGGGAACCGGTCTTAGGTTTCAGATCCAGTTCAGTTTCTGCTCGTCTTCAGGGGGTCGTTCAGTTTAGTTTGTTTAGATTTTAAGAAAATTAATGTTTAGATTTTGGTTTTTATTTTCTGTTTGTTTTTTTTTACTGTAAAAACATAGTTGTGGTTGTATTAATTATATTAATTATAAGCTCAGAGATGCAGACAATACAAACATTTAAAACACTGAGATTCATTCAGATATCAGATTTTATTTTTGAACTTTGAAGCCCAAACTGAAAAGTTAATGAACAAATCCAATTTAGTTCTATTTTGCTTTGTAGTTCATATTTTAGTTTAGATTTAAATTTTTACTAATTGTATTTTTTTCCAGCTAAAATAAAAGCATTTTAACAACAGCCAACATTTACCAATTTCATAAAATAAAACCAATAAATGTCAGTGTCTGAGCTAATGGGTCATCATTTCAGTGTAAAGAGTAATTGAATTTTAGGCATTTGTTTAATAATTCATTTTAATTTAAATGTATTATTTTTATTAACTGATGATTGACCAATCTTTTCCAGCTTTATTGGAAAGATGGGAACAACTGAGACAGTCCAACCTAACAGAAATAATGACGTCAATCAGACAAACCTTTCAGCTTATCTGAAGTTTAAATTGAACCAACAACATACTGGGACCTGGACCAACTGGCCGGACTGCAACTGGTATCGTAAACCCTCCAATGCAGTCAATCAATCTTCACTGAACATTTAGACTGGAGACTCTGATGAAGATCTTTTATTGGCTCTGATTTGACCTACTTGGACCCTTTTGGGCTCGACCCGACTGGGTTGGCTTTGATTTGTCCAGGTTGGCCTTGAGCAGCATCTTATTTCTATCTGGTCGGTCCAGGGCTTCGTTCAATCTGGAAACGGGGAGCACTGTTTTGCTGCGGTTTCCAGGTTGAACGAAGCGCAACCGGCTCTAAAAGTATCTTTCTCCTGGTTGGTGGGTGTGTCAGGTGTTACCCAATCAGCAGCGACGTGTAAATAAACAACAATGTATTAAAAAAGTGTTCAACGCACCACTGATTATATTTAAATACACACTTTGCAACCTTTTGTCGGGGCTGAACGCACTCCTGGTTTACTTTAAATTGAATTGGTCCCAAGTTGTTTCCCGTTTGTCTCTGATTGGCCCTGATTATTTCCTGGTTGTCTCTGATTGGCCCTGGTTGTCCCTGTTTTGTGTCTGATTGGCCCTGGTTGTCCCTGATGTCTCTGGTTGTCCCTGTTTGTCTCTGTCCAGCTAACAGTAGCAGCAGCTGTTTGACACCACGTCGCCACAAACTGACGAGCTGAGAGCAGGAAACTCACATTGTGGTTATTAAAGGTTATAAAAACACCTCCGATTGGTTCAGTGTGAACTTCCTGCAGCATCCTCCAACTGAGAAACATCAGCTGACATTTACAGAAACGTAAAAGAGACATAATGTCCTATATTACAACATTTTAATCTTCTTAAAGCAAAAATATTTGTGTTTAAAATCAGTTGAAGCCATTTATGTTTTCTAATGTTTGTTATATTACAGTTGTTCTGTTTTACTGAAATGTGAAGTATTTAGTCTATTTTAAAGTTATTATACTGAAATAATGAATCTATTGATCTATTAGTAAATGATTAGAAATGTTATTGGCAACTATTTTAAAAATGTATTAATCAATAATTCTCTGGCTCCAGTTTAGTAAACTTGAAAACTGCTTATTCATATTTACCTGTTGTTTGTCATCTTGGGCTTTGGGAAACTGTGTTGGTCATTTTATATCTTCTGGACCAAACGATTAATCAAGAAAGCAGTTCCATGATTAATTGATTGATCTGATTGACCCATCAGAGCTTTCCACATTAGCTGCAGACATACACATACAGTATGTTTCTGTGCTCAGACCTTTGTGTGTAACAATGACGACAATTAAAGGAACTTTATCATTTTAGCCTCCAGACAAATAAACACAATTCATAGATAATTATTATAATTTCATGTCCACCTTTAGTTCTCAGAAACTACATTTGGACCATTTACAGGCACAAATTATGTATCTTCAATATATCACAATCAATTATTTACTATTTAAATAACCACAATTTCCATTATGTATATTTTAAAGCAGCAACCAGAAACTTTCATTGTGTGTTGATTCTGGTGACCCCTGTGGACAACAGTGGTAGTGTTTCTCCCGACTTGTTTCATTGATTTCAAGGGGAGTCCGACCTGTGGCAGACATTAATAATAATAAATCTGATGGTCTCATTTGTTTATGAAGGTCATATTGTATTAAATATAATATAAATATATAAAAACACTGAACACATTACAGTTATTTTATTATTAATTTACCCCAAAAGGAGGCTATTAAACACCTGAATACTAACGAAGGATCCATTAAAATATCAATAATCTGCACCAGAAAACATTTACAACTTAAATTTAATTTAATTTAAACCCCTTAGCCTGATTATCACCATAAATAATCATTAATAGTTTTATCCATTAGTTCAAATTAGTGAGTAAATGAAGAAGAAAGTCTGCGTCCCATAAAATCTATTTAATGTGTTAATTAAGATAATTTAGGGGTTTTAAGAGGTTTTCAGATTCAACCCTCCAAAAACACCTTTTCATTGACTTTAATTTATACTGAGGAGTTTTCTGTGTGTTTTCAGGGTTAAACTGAGGATTCATTCAGGAGATTTTAACCACAAAAAGCAACAAACAGAAGTCACATTTTTATCAACACCAGCTCACATTTTAAAGTCTGTCTGTGTTACAGTTGTGATTTCTACAAAACCTGCAGACTCCTGTGAGGAAGTTACAGTCATTATCAGGTTCCTGCAGCAGTTAAATCAGGTTTCTGAGAGTCCCTGAACACGACGCAGACCAGATCTGGTTGCAGCTAAACTTAATCTGATGACTCAACTGGATGTTAAAGAAGTGACAGGCGGAGGTCTGACACTCAACAGTCATCTCAGTTTATTTAAAACCGAATCAGCCAACAGGTTTCTAACGCGGTTAAAGGTGTGAATTTACTCAAATACTGGAGTTTATCCATCTTCTGCATCTTTATACTTTTATTTCTCTACATTTCACAAACATTGTACTTTTTACTGCACAGCATTTATCTGACAGCTGAAGTCACTGTTCAGATTTAGATTTTTTTTATCCGAAACAGTCAATCATCTTATTAAATATGACGAATTGTTGTAGTTTAAAAGTTTAACACTTAGTAATAGTAGTCCAATAATAAACATACATACAGTATAATAGTGTAAAACTGCTTTGTAAGCTTTATTCATTGCTTTAGTTGACCTCTGCCTCACTATAAAGCAGAACTTTTACACTGTGATATTAATACTTCACTAAAGGATCTTATTCTTTATGTGTCAACCTTTTTTAAATCAACCAGTTGTTTTCCTTTCAGCTTTTATGTTGCGACAGGACAAAATATTTTATATAAGCGTACTATTTGTTTGCTGTGTTTTGTGTTAGCGACAGAAAAGCCGAACTTCTCTTTCCTCTTTTTTCCAAGTGTTCAAACAATAAAAGCATTTTAATACAATAAACAAAAGTACTTGTTGAACATATTCAGATTAACAGGACTTCCCCCATAAATGAACTGAATCATCAGTCAGTCACAGACGAATCATCGGCTCAAACAGGCAGATCAGAGTCAACATGCTGAGGATTTAGTTCAGCCACTCAGAGAGTTTTATATCTCAGCACCTTAAGAAGAAAACCACCAACACATCACATATTCTCACATGTGACTTTTCTTTTCCTTTTTAATCTTTGTTCTGAAACGTGCTGCAGATCAGCCAGAAGAGTCTCTCACTCTTTAAAATAAAAACTAATAAACCTTAATGACACTGCAACAGCTGTTCACTCTCCTCCAAAATAAAAGCCTCACTGATGAGTCCCTGCTGTCAGTCAGACACTTCCTCCGCACAGAGCTCTGTGTAATGTAACGAGGGGGGGTTTATCTAACACAGGACACCAAACGCTAAAAATAACAGCAACCCCCCGCCCCTGCTGCACCCCCCCCCACACACACACCTCAGTTTGATTGACA